AGGGGGGTCAAAAATTTGTGACGTCAAAATTTTAAAAAAAAAAATCAAAAAAATTATTAATTTTGAAAAAAAAAAAACGTTAATCAATGAATTTTCCAAACATTAATTTGAGGTCGAAATGGCCTCTGGTTATAGGTCCCGTGAAAGTCTAACACTTTCTGCACATATCGAAAATTGACGCGAAACTGTTGTAGCCATTTTACATTCGGGTTGGGGGAGGACTTCATTGTTTTTCATTATACATCACAGTTTTCTAATAATAAAAGAATAAAATGAAGTCTTAGTTTGGTTATAACAATGTTATGCATGTTTTAATTTTTTTAGATGTGACGTGATTAGCAAAAAAAAAAAGGGGGGGGGGGAAAAAGTTTTTGACACTTTGTGTCAGGGAGGAAAAGGGGGGGGGCTGAAAAGGTCTTTTTTTTCGTGACGTAATTTGTGAACGACCCCCCAAAGGGGAATCCATAGACGCTAAATTTAGAAACGGCATAGAATGGAATTCCCCAATTGCGTTAACGGGCTTTCTGACAGCTGGCCGTGTTGTGACCTAAATCAGATAACAAGCTTCTTGTTCAAACAGAAGGAAAAATAGATTACCTTTTTATTAAAGAGGGCGTTGTCTCTGAAGTTCACGTATGTTTGTGTACATTAGACGTAGTGTGTGTTTTTGTATAAAGTGATATTGTAAAGTTTTATTCGCACTGTTTACACAAAGGACTGTCTGCGATAGCTTGAAGATCAACTGCACAGCCTTATTGCCTTGAACAGTGCTCTATTATAATGTTATGGTTGTATTCAAGCTTATTTGGTAGATGGAATGGGTATTTATATTATACTGAACTCTGAGTAGTTGTTGACAACTTACTTTGCTTAACATGGACGTTTTTTGTATAATTTACTCACTGCATCGCTTAGAGAGGGTGAAGTCGATATGTAAGCAGGCAGCAACAAGCACATTTAAATATTTTTTAAAAGATCTGTTTAAAGTGGCTCGGCGAACAGAACATCCAAATATCTAACTTTTCTTTAGTAGGGTTAACTAGATTTGAATACAATTTTTTTTTATTAAACCAGCTAATTTTATTGAGTTATCAAACATATGCGAAATTTGCAGTTTAATTTTATCGGAATAATTACTTATGTATTGAGTTTGAAATATCAGCTTTAATATTTTTTTTTTTAAAATTTAACCCTTAAAGGGAAATAATACTACAACCAACCCACCCACCCCCACAAATCTCCACTTTTCACCATGGATCCAATGGTTTTTTGCTAGACTTCCGCAATTCTGATCCGGGCTCATTGTTCCTTTCCAGGTGTTCTTTCGGTAGTTGATTTTCATGTTCATTGCTCCTTTCCAAGAGTTGCTTTTTTTTTTTTCAGTAGTAGAGTCTCGTGCAATGTCAGCTTTTCATTGAGCAAACAAAAAACGAGGCTAAATTCATCGGATTAAAAAATCAAACAAACCCAGTAACATCTGTTTTGTGCATTTCTCATATTCATATATATGTGTGTAGTTACTGTAGCACGTCGTCACAGTAGTTACTGCAGTATGTCCTCTCCGCAGTAACTGTGGTAAGGATACTCCGTAGTTTGTACAGTGCACCCAGTCCATTTATTTATGTCCCAATCATGTGCTTATAATGAGATTAGAGGAGTTTTAGGGGACAGTTGTTGTAGCCAGGACAGTCTTGAAAAACATTGTAGGACCTAGGACTCACTTAATTTACAGAAACAGAGGCGTAGGATCGCGAAGACAATGCAAAGACAAAAAACCAAAGCCTTGGTTGTGAGAGATTAATAAGGCCTACGTGCTTACTATGCCATGATTATGATATCTATTTAAGGAAAAATACTTAGGAATAGATCGTGTAGAAGAAGGCGCCCCTGGAGTTATTATGTTCTTGTCATGGAGACCCCCCACCCATCGCCATGTTGGGCTATTATGTTCTTGTCATAGAGAACCCCACCCATCGCCATGTTGGGCTATCGTGTTCAAGCTGGACCCCTTTGTCGTTAGGAGAGGAGATTTAGTTAATCCATTTTATATATTTATTTTATTTTATTTGCAGGTAGCTTTACCTGTATCAAAATCCCAAACTACTGAAGTACGCCATCAACGGCCCAAATAATTGTTCATTTCACTTACTTCATTAAAAATGGACGATTTATTTGGAGGACATTTTAGGGATCAACCCCCAAGAACGAATCCAGCCCCGAGAACAACCCAAGCCCCCACTGACCCACATGGCGGTGACTCGATGTATAGCAGGTTTATGGGTCAACAGCTTGCTCGAAAGCACACGGTTCAAATGAGACCAAGTCCAGAAAATATCACGGCGTTTTGTTCTCCCGTTCAGACTTGGACAGCTCCAGATCAGGGCTTTCATCGTGCACGCCATGTGGGAGAGGAAGAGAACTACGACCAGAGTATGCCCGATCCTTATCCCAGTATGATAGACATATCTCAGAATATGGCAGAACCCACTCTGTATATACCAGGCCCAACTCAGGGTATACAAGCGCCCACCCAGGGTATACCAGCGCTCACTCAGGGTATACCAGCCTCCACCCACAGTGGAATACACCATGCCCCCTATACACCTCAACAACTTTCTAGTATTCCCCACCAACCTTATGTCATACCCCATAACGCTCAAATTATACCAGCGCCCACACCAATTATGCAAGATCCCCATGATCTACCCCACCAACGCGTCCACGGTCCCACCTCAAACTACAGCCAGACCGACCCCCAAAGGTTCAACAGAGGAGAATACACCATTACCTCTTACCCTAGAATTGATGCCCAGCACCAACACTTTCAACGCGTTCAAGCCACACAACCGATTGCTTCTTCCAGCCAGCAACTTCAACACCCCAGCGATCTGTCTCGTCAACATCTAGCAGACACGACAAGACCAGTGCGACATGAGTTTGGTCTAAACATCAGAAAAGATATCCAAAATTCAATCAGATCATCAATCACAAAGCTTGGAACAATCACCCAAGTTTGTGGGCCGCCCGTGGTGGGGAAATCAACTTTAGTTGATCAGGTAAACGATATATTAACATGTAAATTATCTACATTACTTGTTTAATTAGTATTCATTTTCACACACACACACACACACACACACTCCATTTCTCTCTCTCTCTCTCTCTCTCTCTCACACACACACACACACACACATATTATATTGTACTTCAAATGTCTCTTTTCAAAGTGATAAACTCCTGGCTAACCGTGCAGTGAGTTTATTTGAGTAGATCAGGCCTGCACAACATATGGCCCAACTTGGCGGCCCGCGAATTAAAGAAATATATTCTTTATTATTATTATTTTCGTATTATCTTTCCCCCCTGTCCTATCATCTTTCGGACCGCACAAGTTTTTCATAAAGTATTACGGGCCGCCTTACATTTTGAGTTGTGCAGGCCTGGAGTAGATGCAGCAAATTATAATCGATGCCTACAAAATAAGGACAAACATTGCTCTTAATAAATAAACAAGTATTCAATATTAGGTTTAATTTTGCACATTTTAGGCTATCCAAGAGTTGCAAGAATCACAGTCCAATAGTCAGCACGGTGGATTCCTGTACCACTCGTTCATGTGTAAGGGACTGGCTACACTTCAAGACATCCTTGCTACTGTCATGGCTACAATACAGCAGGGTCGCACCTTCACAGCTCCAACAAACACTTACACGGAGGCGTTCGTCTTAAGTCAGATTCAATCTTTGCTTCAGCGTTGTGAAAAACATCATCATATTTTTGTGTTCCACAAATGTGAGAGTTTGAGAACATCTGGAAGAGACCACGAGTTTTTGGAATTTTTGACAAAATTGTCCAAATTTTGGTTGTCAGCTGGTTTCATGGTCAGTGTTGTGTTTACAACATACAAAAAGTTTCCTATTTCAGGTCTAAACACTGGACTCGTGGAGGTTGACATGTTGATGGACCCCATCGACATCAAGGCGTTACTGGAACACCACGCCCCTGGTGTAGACGTGACAGGTTATATAAAGATTTGTCAGATGTTTTTGTGTTTACCAGAAGCTGTAATTCGGTTCGCTGAAGAATATCTTGTTGACGATGCGACACGATCTAGTCCAGAAGATTTGAAACAACGCGTGTGCATGGATGCAGATTTCCATTCTCTGATATTTGACAAGAGAGTCGCTGACGTAGAAGGTTGGCTGCAGAAAGGTGACTTGGAACTTCTCATGTACTTTGGCAGCTCAGTTGACTCAACTTTTACCGAGGGTAGGAACTTCCATAACACAAACAAATACAATTTTAATCTAGAGCTAGAATCTAATCTAGTACGGTATTCAGCTGATTTGATGCTTTAATTTTATTTATCAGGGGGGGTCACTATCGTATCACCTTGCTTGATGTTACTCTTTAACTTTTAATAAGCCATTATGATATTCTTGTTTTTTTCAGAAAACTTGATTGAAGTTCTAAAAAGGCAAATTGATGTCTATCGATTCGACCAATGGGTGCAAAGTTTATTAAAGCGACTCAAAGACAACTACGTGTTTCGTGCAGTTTATGATAATGGCAACAGACTGGCTGTCCATCCTCTGTTGGTCTACTACACCAAGATTGCCAAAACGCAGGGCACGTTGGCCATTAAAGACCAATCTTGTAATAGGTCAGAAAATATTGTCGCTAATGCAATGTCCTTCCAATTATTAAGATTTTGCGAATAAATTATCGTACTCAAATTATTATTTTTTTAAAATGTTGAAATATAGAAAAGTATTTAATAGTAGGCCAATTAAATCATTATTGGAACGTGACATTTCTTTGTTAACTTCAAGAACCCAACTTAAAATACTCTGTTAATTGTTGGTCACTTTTACTTTCCACTCTTTACTTTCAGTTTCACCGTCTTTGTGAGTCACGTCCTTAAGAACGCCGAGAAAAACATCCTGCTCCATGGGAAGAAGGGTCAAGTGTACGGGTGCCTGGCCCAGGAATGGCCACACGTGCGGCACGTACTGGAACTAGCCATCAACTGTACATCAGGGACTTACAATTCTTTCCTAAAGGTCATTTACTATTGCAACCTAAGCATAATGATTTCAAAAAAAGGAAATAACTTAATTATTTATACCATCCAATCGTTTAAAGTCTCTACCATAACACATTTACAACTTTAAGTTTGGTCCAAGATCTGGGGTTCTCTGAGGGACTTTTTAGGCTGGGCATTAGAAAGTTGCCCTGATAGTTATTTTGAGATTGCCTAGGGGGAAAGGACTCACTGGTCGCCCAAGGCTGAGGTGGATCAACGATGTAGAGAATGATGTACACCAGTTGGGGACTCGAGCATGGAGGCGGAAAGCCATGGATCGTTCCGAATGTAAGGATGTGGTAAGCAGGCCAGGGCCCCTACATGGGCTGTAGCGGCACTAATGATGATGACATGACCACTGGCTTAAAATTTAGTTTTGAAAAGAAATGCAATATATTTAGTAAGGCAGTATTTATTGGTTTTTCCGTCAACCTGAATCTGAAGTATTTTAATAATTAATAGTGATGTAAACAATGTTAAAATCATTTTATACGCCTTTTAGGTTGCTGTACATGGACGACGTCTTGTTATGTCCTGTTTTCCCAATGAAAGTAAAGACTTCTACAAGGCGCTGTTCATTAATGCCAAAGAGTATGGCAGTCCACAGCAACAAGCAGTGCTAGAAGCATGTCTGGGGCATATCACAGCCTCTGGCACAGGTAAGCTAATTTGAAGGGCATATCAAAGAATCTAGTGTTAAGCCTATGTCTAGGGCATATTACAACATCTAGCGTGGGCAACCTAATATCTAGCCGCACAGCATTTGGTTTCATCTAGTAAGAATACATTTACAATATTTAAAAATATGTGATAAATGTGACAAGATGTTATAAATATGACAAGATGTGACAAGCAATGTAAATAATGATCTTGTCTTTTCTTTTTTGAAATTTCCCTGTTTTATTTTATATTTAAATAAAGGAATAGACTGGAAACTGTCAGAGAAGTACCTGGACTCTGCCATCGAGACTCTGAAATCAGTCGGACCAGTTCATTATTACAAATGGGCACTTGCAAGAAAAGCCAACATTCTTCAAAGACAAGGAAACAATCCAGAAGCCATGAAGTAAGCTGTAATGTGTGTGTCAGTAAACATTCCTTTAGTTAGTGTGTTGTAGCAGAGAAAAATGGCACCTTTAACAATGCTCTTTTATGTGTAAAAATGGTTTAACCATCGACATTTCCAGGATGCTTTTTTTAAAGGGAGAAAAAGAATCAGACATAATCATACATTGAAATGTGAGATTACAGTGTATTTTTTTTTTACTAAAAAATGGGCTAAATAACTAATTTGCTTTTTTAAATTAAAAGGTATTAATATTTCCATTCATAATATCTGGAGAGATTTGTCTTGGAACATGTTCAATTATTTTTCTTTTAAAATATACTATATGAAATATGTTTCAAATAAAGACATTCTTTTAAGATAATCACATTTTACCTACAGAAAAAGTTCTCCAAATGCTCTTAAAATGAAACATCTATCCACTCAGTTTTATAAGTTTAATCTGCACAATCACAACCTCTTCTGATGGATTTAGGACTCCTATAGATGTTTATTCTAAAATTTTAAGAATTTAATACAAGGGCACAACTTTAGGCCTTCTATATCATATGTTCAATTAATAATCCAGTTACTCCCCTTTACAAATAACAAACATAACCTTTCAATGTGGTGAATCTGAATATTTATTTTGTGTCATTCTATTAAGACCTTTACATTAATATGTACATATATTAAGAGATAGTGAGAGTAACAATATACACTGTTCTTTTCTTTGCAGGTATTTCATGAAAATTAAGGGAGTAAGTGACTATGACTTACCTGGAGAAGTTGATGGAATTCTTAAAGTTTCGGAACAGCAAGAAGAAGAGGACAAATTAACAACAGAAATTCTTGAAACTGTGCCCATGATTTTTTTAGGTTTGTCAATAAAAAAAAATCATTATTTTACTCACATTTCTCTATTGCTGCTCAAACTCTTAGACATTTAGTTATATTATATAATTATTATACCTCAATTCTCAAAGTTATGACACAGACATACCCCTGTTTTTATAGAGATTTTAGACATTTGCAATAGTGAAAGGAAATGCATAATGGTATTAACAGGAGCAAATACCCCTGAAAATCATAACATTTCTAAGTAATACACTTTGATTTAATGTCATAATTATGGTGCTACTAAATTAAAGTTTTTACAATAAGTTTAAGATTGTCATTTATTATTTTATTAATGTTTCTTTTAAGTTTATGTTGTTTAAATATTTAATTCCAGCTGTAGGTTTTTATTATTTTCTTTGTAAAACTTTTCCTCCCCTTTTTAGTTTATTCTGAAAATACTCAACCTTTTGTCTTAATCTCATAATATTATATTTGTTTTGCCTTTCATTGATTTTCATACCACACAGGAGACAATGAAAAAGCCAGGGAAACGCTTTACAGATTATTAAATGATTTGGATTCAAGATGTCCCAATCACCCAGAGTTGTCCATTCTGCTAAACAACATTGGTTTGACAATCCAAAGAGGTGAGGCTTTATTACAAAAATTGAGACAATTTGAAAGACCGAGTTGGGCTGATGAAGAGTCTACTTATATTTGATCATAGTTAGGCTTTGTTTATATATTTCTTATCATAATTAGGAAGGTTTAGATATTTTATTATGGTGAGGATGTGTTATACTTTTTATCAGTTTTGTTTGTTTAGATATATTTTTTTAGGATGGGTTAGATACTTTATCATATTTAGGATGAGTTAGATATTTCATCATAAATAGGATTGGTTAGATATTTAATAGTAGGAAGGACTGGTTAGATATTTGATCCCATTTAGGATGGGTTTTTTTTCCCAAGTGAGGATGGGTTAGATATTATGTCCTGTAAATAATGGGTTAATTAGTCAATCATTGTTAGTAGAGGTTAAATATTTTATCATTTTATTGATTTTATCCTAGTTAGGATAATTAAGATAATTTTCATATTTTGGATGGATTAGATATTGTCTTCTACTTATTGTTGGTTAGATATTTTATCCTAGTTATGAAGAGTTACATATTTATAATAATGTTGATGGATTAGACATTTTAACATATTTAGGCTGTTTTCTTGTGTCTTATTCATCTGTTCTTTCTCCGAGTTATCCACCTAGCTTCACACAAGGTATTGCTGAGAAATTAGTTAAAACAATAAATCATATTTAAAAACATGTTTTGCACCCTTAACATATGAAGTGTAATCTCTATAGAGATATGAATAGAATCCCCCCCCAACCAATATATTTTATAGTCATTAATAATTGATAGGAGTTAATCAATCAACTGGTGTCAAAAGATTACCTAAAAAATTTTGTTGTTGTCTTTAATAAGTTTCTCATTAATACATTTACTAGGTAAAAAAGATTTGAAAGGTGCCCTTGAGTGGTATCAAAAAGCTTACATACAGAGAAGTTACCTTGAAAAAATTTGCCCTCAAGACATGGTGGTTCCCCTCAACAATATAGGAATGTGCTTTGCAAGGCTTAATGAGTTGGGTAAGCTGTGACCGAACTACATGTTGAATTATGTTTTTTTTTCTTCATGGCTTATTTCCACTACTTAAAATTAAACCATGGCCTTCATTTGCTCTAATCTCATTATATTTGATTGAGCCAAACAGTCAGTCCATCAAGTGGAAATTGAGCAAACATCATGGCTCTATTTTAATGTAATAAGTATTTTGACTTGCTGTTTGTTTAGTGAATATGCACCTCATTAACATGGCCTTTTAAATAAAATAGTTACCATCACAACTTCAAAACAAAATTTTATAACAATATTCATGGTCCAGATCGTGGCAAAAGATACCTGGAAAAAGCACGTGACATCCAGCTCGAGCGAGCAGGTGTTCACTACTACACGGCCTTGACACTGGCTCATATAGCTGAACTGAGCATCAAACAGTGAGATAATTTTTTGTTAATATAATGTGCCCTTTAATGGTCTTTAACTGCACGAAAATAAATTTTTAAAATATTCTTAAACTCAAGACTGAAAATAAAACTGTGGCCTTTAACCTGCTCTTAAAATATCTATCAGAAGAGGATTTGGGGGAGGGGACAGTTATTTAACACATTATCTCTTATGTATGATAATTTTTTGAATGATTCTCAAACGTAAAACAATTTAAAAATATAGTTAACACAAAAGTTAATCCTCAACAAAATCTTTGTCAAAAAGAATTATTTTTTTTTTTAAAATTTAATTATTCAAAATAAGCAGTCAAAATACATGGTTAGCTGTGTACCCTACATTTCTACGAATATTTAACTATTGAAAATATTTCTTTTTCAAAGTATAAATTAATTTTGATCTTCTTTTCAATTTTCTCCAGGAAAAACTTTTTGGAAGCTTATGAAAAATCCTTAGACGCGGAAGAAATGTTGAAAAAGATAGCCAAACAACATGACTTTAGGCTTCGTGTGCTGAATTCATTGGTCCATTACAGAATAATTATCAGACAATTAAATCTGACGACAACTGAAACTACAACGGCACGATTTGTGAAGTCCGCTGAAGATTTTGTTGATTACATGTTAAAACTTGGAAGCAGTATACAACTGACTGATGATGGCCACCATTATGTGATGACAGCATACGAACATGCAATGATTTTAAATTGGGGGAACTCTCGAGAAAAGTTTCAGCAGTACAAAAATGAATACTTGTTATTTGTTTCAGCGAACGGTTGGGTTCGAGATTTGATGTTTTCTGAAAATGAGGAACTTGCTTTGGCCGCCAAACACAAAAGTCTTTACTTTTACATCAGAGATACAGAATATGAAGATCTTGATCTTGAAACATTCATCAGTTATATGACACCTACATGTCCACATTGTCAAGAGGTCAAGCAGGTTTATCGTGCAAACATGTGGCAAGATGAAGTCGAATACTTAATACATCAACGCCAGCAAAAATTAATTCGCCGAGACAGGAATTTTTCCCCACAAAATTTTTAAGCTAAACATTATTTAAGAACTAATTCAGTTCCTTTCAATATAATCTAGTAGGGCCACACAATGACTATGATCATGTGCTTATTTATATCTGTATTTTTACAATTAAATTGTCATGCTGCACTGAAATTTTGCAATATCATCATTACAGAAGTGAGCTGAAATAGAATCATGTAATGGTGAAGGAAAAAAAATATTAGCCAAATAATTTGTCTTAGTTTTAAAAAGGCTTTTAGTTTTAACAATTACTTAATTTATCTGAATTCTTTAAATAGTATAAAAACCAATTTATTTATGTTCAGAGTGCAGCTTGAATTTAAATCTTTGAACATCTGGATATTACCTAGATTGATGCAGCCATATCTTATTTATATTGACACACCCAGATCTTTACCTAGATTGACACACCTAGATTGTACCTAGATTGACACACCTTGATCATACCTAGATTAAAACACCTGTATTTTTACCTAGATTGATACACCTGGCTTTTTAACTAGACTGACACACCTGTATTTTTACCTAGATTGACACCCCTGGAATTACTTAAATAGTAAAAGCAAAAAAAAAAAAATTATGCAAGTCAGCCAGTATTAACTCAAAATTAATTTTCCCACGGTGTAATCCTGCTTTAGATGGCAGATTAAAAACGTAAATAAGATGAAATGTCCAAAATTGGCCTTGAAGATTTCTAACTCGATTCATTTGTTGAGAAACACCAAATCTCAATTAATATCTCGTTACATACTTGTTCTCACATACATGAAGCTAATTTGTTGGCATATCAAGACTTAGCAGTTGTGAATAGAAGAATCTCTTGTTTGTCATTATTTGATCAAATAACCCCACAGAGCAACATTGAATTAATGAACTTAATATCTTGCTAGATTTGAGGACGAGGATTGAATATTGTGATTATTTCATGGTTGTGGCACGTGCTGTAGAGTGTTTTTTGGGGTAGATGTCTGCTTACTTTTCTTTTAAGAAGAATTCTGTCTATAGAAGTTTGTAAACAAATAGCTTTTGTTCTTCTAATTTGATTAATTTTCTTAAGTGAAAAGCTCAAAAAAAATGTTTTAAACTTTTTTATAAATGTAAATAGTATTTTTCTCTACGCCATTCTTTACTTACTCAAACAAAGTTAACGATTATTTTACCATGTTTTATTAGGTAGGGGAGGTAAGCTTGTGAATAAATTAACGTCTATACAAATGTCAAAGTTTTTCATAACTGAAACGAACAAATAAATATTTTCATTAATTGTTTATGATGTCTTACGCTTGCTTATAAATTATGTGTTTAATAAATTGAAATGTTTATTAAAAAAAAGATAAAATTTTGTTACATTGGAGGATCACATGCCGAATTTAAATAAATCTTACATCAACTTAAAGGAGATTGCCAGCAGGGGCCAGCTCTTGTTGAGACTCAATGTCTTAATCTGCAAAGTGTCTAGCACTCACATGGACTGAATTGCACTGCAGTGGTGTGAATCGGTGGTTTCTCTAAATTGTAAGCACACCGACGGTCATTATTCAGATTGCAGAATTGAACACTGCCCAATTTATTGTTTAGCAGTCTTCCTAATTATTTTCACCTGGTGCGAATTGGGGATTGTGGACCAGTTGCAGGTCCAAGGATGACAACTTCGCATGTGTTAATGTTGTGGGGAGAAAGGGTTTGTTGAAAGCAGGGTTCTGTCAAAAATGACGTTTCGAATTTCAACAATTTATATCATTATGGCTCTCGGACACTACATGGTAGCTAAGTGTTTATTTTTGTTGATATTATTAAATCGCATTTTTATTGTTTGTTCGCTGGTGAAGTCTTCTGGCCGGCACGTGTGTTGTTTTGTTGCGTCATTTTATTTTCGGGTTGTCCCATACTTTGTTTCGCTTACTTCCAGACGCCTCCAATCCAGATTAGTGGTCTGTGCTACCCCCCCTCCCCCCCCCAAAAAAAAAAAATCTCATCTCAAATGCACGACCGATGGTGAGAAATGTTGACTGTTATTTTACACTACATTTAACAACTGCACCTTAGTCACGCCTCATCATTTGGTGGACTAAAGAAACCGGGACTGTAAAAATGTGAATACAAAATGTAAAAAATGTCACACGACGGATTATAACGCCATTCTTGGGAAATATACTGATAACTAAAAATAGTAATGTTGTATAATTTTTAATTTATTGATAAAGAATTTTTATAAAGGACTGCTGATATCATTAAACAGGCTGAATGAAATGAAAAGAATAAAGTATAATAATTAGGCCTACCTTATGTATTTATGTAAAATTATAAAATTTCCATATCCAACTTTTATTATATGGATACAAAAAGAAAAAGATCAAATACTGTTTTGTGAAAGGACCTGTAGATTATTTTGGGTTATTTTAACCTGCCTATTTTTTAAAAAATAATAAACTGAATAGAAATAGAATAATTATGTAAGGAACCCGGGGATACATTTACAACAGGCTTCCTATATTTATTAATACATGATTTACCTGGATGAAGTTGAAGCAATGTAATGGTTTTTTTTGTTTTTAATTCAGATTATTGAATAAGTCAGTGTGTCACCAGAGAAGATAGACTCGGCTACTTCCTTGGGGAAAGTCAGAAAAGGGGAAAGGGTGGCCATGTGACTTTACCGCACTGGGTTACCCTTGTGACGCCTTTGATTTATCATCTTGTAACGCCCCTTCTTTCTCGGTCAGACAGAGTTGGTTAATGGCTATTGAGCAGAGTTAATTTAGACTTGAAATAAGTGATTATTATTTTTTTTTAAATTATTTTTATTTTTAAAAAGATTGACGTCATTTCCCATCAAATGTAGTTTCATTTCATTATTGTCATTGAAATCTCCAATTGTTTCTGAATAAAAGTCGTGTTTGATGGCTTGGGGGTCATCACCGAGAAAAGCATTTGCCTTACACACTCGAATTGTTTACGACAATCAATTAACTTTCAGTTCGTAACCACCAGATGTTTAAGTTGAGTGACACAATAAAAGTATAGCAACAAGTTGATTTTTTTTTTTTTTGAAAGTGGTAACAACCCGTCCTTGATTATGATCGTTTCGTTATTTATCAATAGTCAAACTTTTCTTAGTCCGCTGCTTGCGAACTCACTCTCCTTCATAAATCATAAATAAAATGATGTTTGTTTCACTTCTGCATCAAGACTAATACACTTTCATGAAAGCAAAGACGCAAAAGACTACCCCAGGAAACGCATTGCCGTCTATAATTTTAAAAGAAATATTTCCTTGTTTGAAAATTGAAAAAAACCAACAACTGACATTGTTATAAAAGCAATATTATTTACCGGTTTATCTGGGATCCTTCGGTGTTCCTGAGACGATGGCGTAACTATCGATACTTCATCAATTGGCTTACGAGTTCGATCCTGGACTTCGGCTGCACACCTCACAGGAGAACCTTGACACCTGGTTGAATCTGGACTTCCATAATCCTCTGTTCATTAAAAGGGATTTCTTTCGCGCAACTTCTGCATGTTTGACTCTATACTTTTGTTCACCTTATTTATGGGTCAGGTTTCAGTGCAACAGAAATAGATTTGCCAGTGTATTCTATGATATCCAATGCAAGAACATTGTGCAATTTCTAAAACAAATAATCCGGCTATTGCCGCTATATCAAATTGTGTGTGCTGGGTTCTCCAATTGCCTTAATGGGTTTCATGCCTTTGTGATAACACGTTCAGTAATGAAACCCATTTCTCGGCCCGATGCACTAGTTATTCCAATCAGCTTGGCATTGAATCATCCTATCACTTGCACAATGCCATCAATCACAGGGAGACTTCGCACCACACATTTTCTCAAATAGAAATTGCTGAGTTATATCCTTTACGCTAAATACCTATACGAAAAGCAAAAAGTGTTTGTCACTTTCTTTCACTGTTATATCTTTTTTTTTTGTGTCGGAGTCGAAGGCTTTTTGGGCCGAAATGTTCACTTTCTTCACGTTTTCTTCTACCCTTGCGATATTTCTTAAACAAATTTTCTTTGAGTAATGAATTTTAATGTTTAAACTCATTTCAATACAAAGTAAATGAGAAGAAAAAATTATGGCAAAACGTGATAAAAAGACTTTTTTTTCAAAATATTTTTTTAAAAAGTTTTTCCCTACTTTTTAGTATTAAAATTGTACTCGTTAAATTATCGACGTAAGTAGAATTATTTCCTTTTTTAAAAAAAACATTGAATGCTTACAAAGTCCCGGTTGAAGTGACTGAACTCTTACATCTAGGCATCTTAAAAAGGGTAGTTGTGGTGCTCACCTCCCCTACCATTCACTCAACCCCGAAATAGCTGCGGTCAATCTCAATATTTTGAGCGACTGCGTCAACCTGCCTACGTTGACCCATTTTTTTTTCCAGAGAAAGTCTTGAATAAAAAGATAATAACAAATGGCATTGATTCTAAGCTCAAAAGAGGATTAGTTTTATTTGATACGCATTTAAAAACAAAGTAAAGAAAACAATTTTTTTTTTATTGGGCATCATTTAAAAATAAAATGAAATGCTACGTTACTGTTTTAAATGATTATAAAAAATAAGAACTAAAAAATATCTAGAATTTAACAACGTCAGACGGAAAATCTATATCTGATCTGAAATTTGAGCTAAAGTAATAGAAAGGCAGTCAGCCTGAAATAGAGAACGACAGAAACAAAGGTATACATGGAATTGGTTGTACAAAATCAGAAAGAAAACACGTTGTTATAGTGACAAGTTGATATAGTGACAAGTTGATATAGTGACAAGTTGATATAGTGACAAGTTGATAGAGTGACAAGTTGATATAGTGACAAGTTGCTATTGGTGACATTGAAAAAAAAATACACAAATTAATTCGCCAACAAGCGTATCCGGAAATTTGATCGAAAGAAATTTCGTCGACGGTAAATTGGTCGACGGTAATATGATCGAACGGAAATTTGGTCGAATCTTCTTTTCAATTTTTACGTTACAATTTTGAACAAATTTCTTTTTGAACGAATTATTTTTTTTTACTAAATAGTATAGTGCGTTCAAAAAGAAATTTGACGAAAATTTTAACGTGCGAACGGAAAAAAATGATTCGACCAAATTTTCGTTCGACCAAATTACCGTCGATCAATTTACCGTCGACGAAATTTCTTTCGATCAAATTTCCGGTAACCGCCAACAAGCAGTCTCCTATCTGACATCCTTGTAAAGCTCGATGTCAACTCAACACATGGATCGCGACCATCAATGGGTTCACCAAGGTTTTCTGTGGGATCGTCAGCTGACTAAGATGTTACAGAAATATTCACTTTGAATCGGCGTCTTAAAGTTTGAAAGGGTTCATTTTGTTTTCAATGGAACATTTTATTTTCGAAGTTTTTTTGTTGTTTTTTTTGTTTTTTTTTTGTTTTAAGGATTTTAAATGTATGTGTTTTATGAATAGGGATCAAGTGCCACTTTGCCATCCATTACTGAAGGTTTTTTTGTTGTTTTTTTTGTTATTGTTTTTTTTTTCTCCGTGAATTGCACTTTTGTATTGCTGCAAAGTATCAAGTTTATCGATCATGTTTCAGTCAATTAACTTAAGATATCTATAATGTTTGTGGTGATCTGATTGAGAGATAACAAAGACATGTGGTTATGTCATTAATATCGTTGATGTTAATGATTGTGAGGACCTTCAACAGTGGAGCCAGTAGGGTCTGATGTCCGCTGGAAAGCCAGGAAGGAGAGCTCCTTGTAAATTGTATCGCCAAAAACTGGGAGAAAATAAATGTGTGAATGTTTAAGGGCTTATTATTTGCCAATAATAATTTTGACACCAGCTTAATAAAATAATGCAATTTTAAGGTATATCTGCACATCTACCCAATTCTCCATTATGACCTTGTTGTTTTCCGTTCGATTAAAATTTCATGCTTAAATAATATATTTTTTTTTGTGGAACAGTTAATTCAATGAAATTTAAAATTAAATTTGTCGAAACATCCAATAAATTAAAGCTCACCTTTGACCTTTGAAGAAGTAATAATCACCGTGGGAACTTCTGAATGCCGCGTTCACGTCTGCTGGCAAATTCGTCCAATATTCGGCTGAGTTTCTGGGAAATCCCTGTGGCTTACTAGACCAGCTCTCCGTCCATTGGATGAATGTCTTGCCCTTTTTCAAGTAAGAAAGTTCTCTTATTACATGACATTTGTTCTATGCAACAAGAGATCAATAT